AGCAAGGAAGGCCTGGCCGGCCTCCAGGCATGTTTCCAAGGGCCCACGCCCAGGGAGGGGGGAGACGACCGACAGGGTCCAGTGCTTTCTGACCCCTACTGCGTGGACCACCCATGGGTCCCCAAATGCACCTCGAGGGGTCGCTCGCAGCTGAAGGGCCAGCGACGCTCGAGAAGGCAATTTGTGATGGCCCAGGCCAGTGACAGCCGATCCCCACACCGCCGTCGCCGCAGGAGAACCCCTCATTATGATGCTGACACTGGCCCTGGCTTGCCTGAGCTGGACTACGCGGGCGGAGACAGCTTTGGCCTGAGCAAGCCTTTTTGTCTTGCTTCTTCACGCTGCGGCTGGCACCACTACTGGCGTCTGTCCCAAGACAGCGACCTGCATGAATTCGCTGAGCAGCATCTGAACCCCAGCGTTGCGCTGAGTCGTGATGAAAATCGGGGGTGCTGGTCACGTGTCCATTGCCCCAATTGATTTTGAGTTTATTGTGTTAGAGGCCAGGTACTAGATCCACCATCACCGATGGAAATTGCTCCACAATCTGCGCTCGACCACCGATCGCCTGAATGAGCAAATCATTACCTGGAACCTGACCTCAGGGTGCAGCCGCTGGAGCTTCTTGATAAGACTGTGCACTGGCAATCTCGCAAATGCCAAGGCGTTGCTGCAGTCCGCTGCTACAGTCCCGTCGGCAACTAGAGGCTCTGAGATAATTGCTTCCCACACGGCTCTACTAGGAAGGCTATAGCCAGCGCGCAGGCACTTCAGCAGCTGAGCGGGGAATCATGTGAGCATGGCCTCCTGAACAACGATCTGCACGGGAGATGTGCTCATAACACTTGGACGAATCGAGCAGCCCACTGACTGCCGTGAAGCTCTGGATCCTAGCAAGCCGTTGCGCGAAGTGGTGGACGTGGTCTGCACGGTCGCAGGCGAGGCCAGGCGAGCCCCAGAAAGCCGCGTTGCCTAACGAGCGCTCCTACCGGCGTGCCATAGGCTGCCAGGGCCTGGACCAGACCCTCTCCCAGATGGATGACAGCACGATGCGGCGGACTCCCCCAGCAGGGGCAAGCTTCCCAAGGAGAACAATTAAGAGAGTCCACACATTTCCAAGGCTTTGGGGCCTGGTTCCCACCTCCGCAGGATGTCAATGAATGCCTGCTCATACGAACTTGGTAGCCATAACATCTGCCAGGAGGGAAACGAGGAGTAGGTTGAGGACTAGGAGTAGGAAGAGGAGGAGGAGGAGGAGGAGGAGAAGGAGGAGGAGGAGGAGGAAGAAGGGCTGCTGCTGCTACCGCTGCAGCTGCTGAGGAGGATGATGATGCTGCTGCTGCTGATGATGATGATGATGATGATGAGGATGATGCTGATGATACCCATGATGATGGGAGATGGAGGAGAAACAATACGACGATAGGATAGATGGGTAACAACTTTCATTTTGGTTTCAATCAGGTCCATTACCGAGCCACCAAATGCGGTCCGCACTAGGGCCCCCGCCTCCCACGAGCACCCTGCCGCGCCGACTTGGCGGCCGCAGTGCATGCCGTGCTGGGATCTCGACGAAAGCCTTTTCTGTTGGGCCTGCTTGTAGTGCACATCACGCTCGACCAGTGCGTCTTCGGCAGCGTCTCGCTCAAGCCTGCATCGCTGCTGATCGCCAACGTGCCCTGGGCGCTAGGAGCGAGCTTCGCCGCCTGCCGGGCCAAGGGCGATGCCTCCACCACGCCAGGCACTCGACCGCCCTCGGCAAGGACGAGGCCGGGGGCTTACGCACATCTCCGTTGAAGGAGTCTCCCCCGGCCACGTGCGACTGGCTGGCTGGGCTCTTCCATCGGCACGGGCCTGGCTCGATGCCTCTGCGGAGATCCCCGACGACCTCGAGAAGTTCTTGATCCTGGCGGACCCGTGCTTCGAGGTCGACATGGCCGCCGGCCACGCCGGGCGGCCCCGCGGGCGACGCCGCCGTCGCCCTCTGCCTGGCGCGAAGCGCCCGGCCCTGGCAGTACGCCCCGCGCTGCTGCGCCGACCACTGCGGCCGCCGCCACCGACGGCCCAGCGGCTGGACGCCAAGCCTGGGCCGCCCGCAGGGCGTCCAGCCGCTGTGGGACCGGCCTGCAGCACGCCGAGCGCTGCTGCTGCCGCGCCTCGCCGCCGCAGACCCTCGGGGTCTCGCTGCGCGGCACGCGGCCCACGCGCCACCGCGGCCCGCCGCCGCGCCAGCCGCCCCCGCGTGCCGCGTGCCCCGTGGCCGCCCGCCGCCCCGTGTGCGCACGCCGCGGGCGCCGCTGCCGCTTGCCGCTGTTGTGTCGTGCGCTGGCGCAGGATGGCTGGGCTCGTCGACTGGGACTCCGCCGGCGCCGATCTCTTGAAAGCGCAGGGAGCACCCTTCCGATCTCCGTCTCCCGAGGCGTCGCCAGCGGCCACGCCAGCTGTCGCTGCGAAGGCCTCCGAGGACGAGCTCGGAGGGCGTGCCAGGCCGTTGCAGCTGGCCGCCGCTGCCGCTGCCACGCTGCGTCCTGCGGGCCCCTCTGCGCGCCCGCGGCCGCCTGGGCCGCGGCGGCTCGGCGCCGCGCTTCGGCCCTCGGCGGCGCACGCCCGGCGCACCTGCGCGGCGCGGGTGCCGCTCTGCGACTCCGCGGCCCTGCGCGCCGTCCTGCTCACCGACTTCGTCGACAGCGCCAGCGGGCACCTAGGCCAGGCGCAGGTGTGGAGGTGCCGTCTCGTCTGGCCTCCCCAAGCGTATGTAGGTGCGGAGGGGGGGGGAGGAGAGGAGGAGAGGGAACAGCATGACGAGGAACACGAGAAGTAGGAGTAGTAGGAGGAGGGGGAGGCGGAGGGGGACCTTGAGGAATAGGAGAGATACGAAAATGATGACGAGGAGGATGATCATGAGCAGGAAGATGAGAGACAAGACGTGGCGCTTCAAAACATCAAAATTGAAGAAGAAACACGTGGAAGAAGAGGAGGATGCGGAGGAACGGTCGCGGCAGGATTATCAGAATAATAGGCGGGACGCCCCAGTTCAGAACTTGGTATTCCGAGGGAGGACGCGGGGAGAAAAATGAGGAGGAGGAGAAACAGTAGGAGGAGGAGGAAGAGGAAGGGGAGGAGAAACGGTAGGAGGAGGAGGAGGAGGAGGAGGAGGAGGAGGAGGAGGAGGACGAGGAGGAGGAGGAGGAGGAGGAGGAGGAGGACGAGGAGAATGATGATAAGAGGGAAGAGGAGGAGCGGGAGGACGAGAAGCACGAGGAAGAGGACCTGGAGGAGGGGGCCCGCCGCCCGTGGCGTGCACGCGCGCTGGCGGCCGCGGAGTCGGCCGCGCTGGTTGCGTCAGCACCTGCCGAGCGCGGAGTTGGCGTGGTGGCGCACGCGCTGATGGCCGAGAAACATTTTTTGCTTGTGCTGTGTTTTTTGTTGCTCGTGCTGTGTTTTCGCTTGTGCTGTGTATGTCTACAGGTATGTATGTATGCATGCATGCACGCATGCATGCCTGCATGCATGCATGCATACATATAGACAACCATGTATGCATGTATGCATGCATGCATGCATTCATGTATGTATGTATGTATGCATGCATGCATGCATGTATGTATGTATGTATGTATGTATGTACGTAGGTATGTATGTATATATGTATGCATATTTGTATATATGTATATTTGTATATGTGCATGTATCTATACATGCATGTATGCATGCATGTATATATGTCTATATGTATGCATGCATGTATGAATGTATGTATGTATGTATGTATGCATGAATGTATGTATGCATGTACGTATGTATGCATGCACGTATGTATATATGCATGTACGTAAGTATGCATGTATGCATATGTAGGTATATAGGTATGTATGTAGGTAGATATATCGGTATGTATGTAGGTAGACATGTATGTATGTATGTATGTATGTATGTATGCATGTATGTACGCATGCATATAGGTATGTATGTCTGTATACATATGTATGCATATATGTCTGAACGAATGTATGCATGCATTATGTATGGCTTTATGCATGCATATATCTATATCCGCCGATCCGGCGTACGAGTTTAAGAAGTCTAAGCTGAAGCTCTGCTTCAGAATGAGCTATAGCTCTGCTTGGGAGGGGGGAGGGGGGAGGACGTGATTACCTGACGAATTAAGTGCTCACACCTCCCCCCCCTGCCCTGCCAGCCCCCAGAGAGAGGGGGGGGGGCAGGAGAGAGGGGGGGGAGAGGGGAAGGGGGGAGACAGGAGAGAGGGGGGGGGGACAGGAGAAAGGGGGGGGAGGGGGGGGGGAAGAAGAGAGGGGGGGGGACAGGAGAGATGGGGGGGGGGGCAGGAGAGAGGGGGGTGGGAAGGAGAGGGGGGGGGGGACAGGACTCCAGATTCTGATGAAAATCCTGAACTGGAAATATTAAGTTCTTTAAGCGAAAGCTATATGAACTAATGGCAATATAGATGATAATCTTTTACTGCTTTGACTTGAGCCAGTACGTTACAGTACGGTACTGCTTCTAGCGTATGAGACAACATGCCTAACAGGTCCTAGACATAATAATCCCAACTCTGGTCCTATTTTCTTTAGGACATGTTGGATCTTATAAAAATTTAAACCCAGTCGATTTTACTGGAGTTCGGTAGCGGCCCTAGGAATGAGTGAGAAGGGAGAAGAGTAGGACAGCAGTCCTAAGTAAGCCATAGCAGGCTTATCATATCCACCACGGCCACCAACTATAAATCCATTGAAATACATCAACTGAAATAAATCCATCTCGAAGTGGTAGCCGATAAAGGTGAACATAAAATACTAGCTCCACAATTGAAGTCGAATAATGCTATACATGTGGAGCTGCTCATATAACATCTCACATATAACCAAACTCCAGATCATACTTCAGATTCTGATGAAAATCCTGAACTGAAATATCATAGCCTTGTCGTGTCGGACTTGGTACTGTCTAGTCCAAATCCTTGCCTGACTCGCAGTGTGCCTGCGATCGTCCAACAACCGGTGGTGATCAGCTCCAGAAGTGACTTGGAATCTGCTCCCACAAACTTTGTCAACATATCTGAAACCATCCACTTGGTACGTACATGATAAAGTCGTCGTGGTCTCAGGGTTCGTCGCTCTTCTCGAAGCGACAGAATACCCAAACGCTGTGACTTGTCCTGTGGTGTTCCTCGAAGTCCGCAACATAACTCCCACAGGTCCATACAATCAATGAAAGCGTCAACTGGTAAACTCAACTGCCCTCGGTCGAGTCGTTCTTGAAGCTGTAGTGGCTTCTGAGGTCCGCATAGAATGTTAATCTCCGGTTCTGTGAGCCTCATGCCGATAATCTGTGCCATGGGAACTCCTCGTGCTGCTGCCAACGTTTCCGCATGGGACGTGCTGTGTGAAACTCTCTTAGACTTGGTCGAAGTGACCACTAGTGCGTGTAACTTGCCACTGAGCCGATTGATCAGATTGTCCTGCAGATAATCTTGTCGATCACATAGAGGAAAATGTAGTCGGTCTTCTTGAAGACCTATCGTGGCTCCTTCTGTGGCGAAATTGCTGTTCTTGTTGGCTGAAGAGGCGTCCGTGATACAAGAGATCCGTAGTGGTGCCTTGAGCTTCCTGTAGTAGATACCAAACTTCTCGGGATTTTTCTTGAGTCTCTTGATCACTGCGTTGATCGCCAGGAGGTCCTTGATGGTCGGACTCTGTAGCTTGGTCTGTAGAGAAACAACATTGAATAGTTCCTCCAGTCGTGTTTGGCATGCCCAAAGTGCTCCACAAGTAAGTGATCTGAACGTCTTGTGTTCTGCTGCCGTACAGGGTGCATCTGGTACATCAACTCGCTCTTTTGGTATAACACATGGCGAAAGACATGATGTAAACTGATCTTGATGAATGCGTATACACGTCGGTACAATTCGTTCGAGCTGTAGGCCAGCATGTGTATATGGCATCGTCTGCCTCTTGAGCTTGCCGAATCTGGATTCCAACTTTTTGTGTATCCAATCGCGATAGAATCTGCTGCCAGTAATCTGTAAGTCGTCCACATGAACAGTCATGACTAAAACGATCACTTTGTTGCCCTTGTAATCGATGCCCCAGTAAAGGTAGTTGTCGTCGAAAACCGATGATTTGGCTCCTGTCTTATCTTTGATAAACTCCAACAAGGCCAACTGAAACATCAATGGTGCGTCTGTGAAACCATACATTGCTCTCAAGCATTTGAGGGCATATCTGTGTCGATCCTTGTCTGCAACTTTCCAACTGGAAGATGCCTCCGGCATGCGTCGAAAGTGACTCCACACATTCTCCGGAGGAAGGATGTAGACTGTCCGGTCTTCGCGATACTCATAGCCGAGATTCCTTGCTTTCTCGCGTAGGTTGTCGTATCCAAGTCCTTGTAGGAAAGCCGTTGAAATATCCAGGCTCTCGGTGTCGACGTCGCCGTCATTCTCGTCGTTCACATGTAGAATACCTTCACAACATCCTAAACTCAAAACCAAACGCTGCGATAATCTTGTCGCTGTCGAGCTGTGCTTCTCAATAAAGTTCTTCTGTCGGTCGAAACAGCCTCGAGCGCATAGTCGTGATTTGACTTCAACATGTTTGACCTTCCATTTCCTTACCCATGTACAATCAACTATGTTCGCCTTATCGGGTAGGTGGTCTCGGAGTGCAGGTTCGAAAATATCATGAGTAACAAAAGCCTTCAACTCCTTATGATCTCCTGCAATAACCAACTTCGCAAAACGTCTCATCTCGTCATCTGTGAGGTTCGCCGTCGAATCATCAACTCTAAAAACCATTGATTCATGCAAATCGTAATGGAAGTATAGGTATCGGTCCGAGTCGGAGTAAAGTGTCGGAGATACAAAATCAAAATCATCTGAAAGGTTGCTGATCATCTCGTCATAAATTGCTTCCATACTTTGCTTGTGAGTTCCATCGGGTAGTCGTTCGCATAGATTGACAATCTTGGGGATGTCAAGGTGGTCAATCGTCTCCTGGTATAAGACTCTGGTATCTCCATCTGGGTCGTCGCTGTATTCCAGAGTTCTGTCAGTAGAAGTCGAGGGTTGCTCTCCTGCTGGTACTTCATCTTTACGAATGGGAAGTATAGGTGGTTCCGTCGAATCCGCTGGAGCTGGCTGTGTCGAGGACGTACCCGGTGTAGCCGCTGGTAAGTCCGTTGACGATGAAGAGGCTCCTGGTTGATATCTCCCCGTAGACGTCGTCTGTGGTCGTGGTGGTGACTCAGGCTGCCAAGGAGAGGGCATGGATATGGCGATGATGATCTTCCTCGCTTCTGAGGTGGTGACTGTGCCGCGTCTGGAGGATCAACTGCTTTCTGCTTCTCCGCCGTGCTTGTCTTGGACTTGTCCAAGTCGAGAGGAATATAGGGTGACTTGTCAGGAGTAGCTGGAGTCTGCAGCGAATCCTCTGATCCTTGTGTGTCTCGGTGCTGTGGTTGCAACGAAGGTGGACCCATAGGTGCCTCTCGAGAGATACGTCGAGGTGCTGGTCCAGGTGCTGGAGGTAGGTCGTGATCATGTCCATGAGCTGGTATCTCCTCCATGTCGTCGTCGCTGTCGATAGTCTGGTCGCCTGGGACGTTGAGCTGCGGTGTGCCTGCCGTAGCTGGTGTCGTCGAGGGTTGACCATGCGATGGCTGATCTGGTGGTCGTCCAGGCTCTTGTGGAGGTATAGCATTTGACCGAAAAGGTGGAACTGGTGGTGCCCGTGCTGGCGGTGCTGGTGGATCCCGTGGTGGCTGCTGATCCGGAATAACAATGTCAGAGAGGTCGTCAGGCCAGTCAATCATGCTGATGTCACTCCAGTCCAGCTCTGGTGGATCGAAATGCTTGTCCAGATCCTCGCAATGGTCATAGCTGTAGAGCATCATTGTGCTGTAGTTGGTAGACTGCTCGGCTGTATAGCGAAGAGCTATGTCTGGGCGTCGTACACGAATACTGTAGTCAGCTCGGTCCTCTCGTCGCCAGCGTAGCAGTAGAGCCCACTGTGCATATTCAATCTGAGGAAGTCGGCGTACTTGTGAGCCGTACAAGATGCCATGCACAGGCTTAAACGTATCGCTGAAAATCTTGATGCCCAGAGCCAAAGGCTTGCATGAATCGCAAGCTTCTTCACTGGGAACATATCGATACTGCTCTTGCTGCCATACCAAGCCAAACCAATATATCTTAGTGGGCGTAGATCCATCAACTAAGTCCATCAGGTCGTACAGCGTTTCCGAAGGAACCAAAACTCCATCGGCATATCTGATACGGTGCCAGAAAGGTAGCCGCTGCCTTGACCATCGTAGGGTTGACCAAGTCGTAGTGTACGTAGAAGTTGCTCATATCATTTTTCTTGTTG